CCCTAGCCGGTTTGGGTCAGTGGATAGAGCCTCAGCCTGTCAACCACAGGGTCCAGGTTCGATTCTGGTCAAGGGCATGTATCTAGGTTGCAGGCTCGTCCAGGGCTCAGACAGGAGGCAACCAATCAAAGTGTCCCTCTCACATTGATGTTTCTCTCTCTCTTTCCCTCTCTCTTCCACGCTCTCTAAAAATCAATGGAAAAATATCCTCAGGTGAGGATAAAAAGAAAGAAATGTCATATCCTATGAAATAGACATCTTGAAAATGCCTAAAGAAAGTTGTGATTTTTTTTGTGGTGAAGGGACTGGAGTCCGTGTTGATGAAAACACCTTGGCAGCTATGGTGGCGGCAGAGGCAGCAGCAGTTGGGTGATGGGGGTGACATTTTCCCCTGAACAGCCCAGTTGCCTCCTGCAGAGGGAGGCCAGACATCCCTTGAGGGCTCCTGGATTAGAGAGGGTGCAAGTTGGGCTGAGGGACAACCCCCCCCCCCCCCCCCGAATGCATGAATTTCATGCACTGGGCCTCTAGTTTACAATAAGTTTATTGGGATACAAACCTGTCGTATGTCTAGGAGCATCTCTACATTCTAAACCAGGGGTCTTCAAACTTCTCTCATTATGAGAATCACCTGGTGGAGTTGTTAAAACACAGATTCCTGGATCCCAACTATAAGAAGTGCTATCAGGAATCTGTGTTTTAACACCTCCACCAGGTGATTCTCATAATGAGAGAAGTTTGAAGACCCCTGTAATCTAAACCATTCATATCTGAGAGTGGAATTAAATTTCAGTGCCATTCATCTCAATGTAGAATAAAAGGAAAGAAACAAATTGGAGGGAAAAGGTAATATGTTCATTTAGGGGATCAGGATGATTTTTTATACCTGTGGAAATTCCAGATAGCAATGTACAGTAGTTAATTAGAAGTTTAGTTTTAAAGTTTCATAGAAAGCTATGTGCTACAAATAAACTTGTGAATTGTCAGTATAAACTTAGTAGTAGAAGCCATTGATCCCACCCCCCAATTTATATATTTACGGGGTATAATGGCCAGGTTAATTAAAGCATTCATCACCTCGCAGTTACCTTTTTTGTGTATGGTGACCCCACTTAAGATCTATTTTCAAATGCCATATAATCTCACTTATATGTGGAATCTAAAGAAATGAAATTTATACATATAGAAAACAAAGGTAGGGCATGAAGGGTGAACAACCTTCCAGTTACAGCACAAATAAGTCACAGGGATGTAAGTATAGCATGGGGCTATAGTTAATAATATTGTATTTTGTACTGAAAAGTTGCTAAGAGAATAAATCTTAAAAGTTCTCACTAGAAAAAAAATTGTAACTATGCCGTAATATATGTTAATTAGACTTACTATAGTGAGCATTTCACAATATATACAAGTATTGAATCATTGTGCTGTACACCTTAAACTAATCTAATGTTATATGTCAATTATACCTCAATTTTCAAAATTAAAAAATATCTTCTATATCTATAAAAGGCTAAGTTGACTTGTGCATGCATGATACATATAAAGATCTTGCTGGTGCCAATTGTATGCGTGTGTTTCCACCTGTCATTGTCTATAATGAATTTGACACTTCTATTATAGAGAAAGGGTGAATAGCGATATTAAAATATTTCTTCTAATTAATTTCCTTTCAATGTGCTTGAATTCATGCACCAAGCCACGAGTTGTTAATAAATTTCAAGTATACAACATATTGTTTTAATTATTACCACCATGCTATACATTAGATCCCCAGAGCTTACTTATTTTATAAAGTTACATACATTTTTAGTAATAAAGTTAGTCATTTTCTCTTTTGGGACCTCAGTTTAAAATGTCATGGTCTGAGTATCATGGCATTTTCTCTTCTTTGCAATGGCAACCTTACTGATAACTTGATTGTATCTCTGCCTCTCAGCCACCTAAGGGCATCTCATTTTAGGTGTAGTTAAAGGATGTGATAGTGAATGGGACTCAACCAGTCCAAAATCTCAGTTCAGTTCTGATAAACCACGAGAGATGAATTTACCATAAGTTATGTAGAGAGAAAAGTGGGAGAAGATGAATACTATTTCAATAAGCCAACACCAAAAAAGAAACCTAACATAAGAGCTAATAGTTCTGAATATGCACATTTCTTTTCCTCATAGCAAGTCAACTTTCTTTTGGACATAAAGTAATCAATGCACTACTGGGGGTATTTTTAATGAGTGTTTCCACTCAGGAGCACATGTATGTACTATCCCTTTATATTTATAGCTGTGGGCTCTGCTCTTTAAATGTACAGATAAATGAGTTCACTTTCTTATATTTAGTGTATTATTAATGTATATGTTGTTTTATCAGGAATGACTCACCAAAATAGAACTATTCAAACCTTTTTGAATGATTTCTTCACTTTCAAATTTGAGAATTATGCTATTTTTCATTACAAGTGGCCAGGGTGAGTGATTGTTGCAATGAGGCCTCATTTCCCCATCTCAGCCAACAGATATTCATTCTTCAAAATTGTGGAAATTCACTTCTTCTTTTGAATATATTCCATTTATTAAATAACCACCCCATTGCTGCCAAGATAACCATTTGGAACAGCCCGTCATTTATGATGGCAATATCATTGCTCTGGGTCAAGTTGCAAAATAGCCAAAGAAACACATCTGTCATCTACCTTTCAGGTTCTAAAGGGAAGTGAACTTGAGGTTATAATGCATCTAGCTAGGGCTCTCTTCATAGAAGAGATTGTAAAGGGAAAATGAATTCTTTATTTGTTTGTTGGTTGGGACTTTTGGTGTGGGCATTTATAATGGCCCGCTATGAATTGCCATAATAGTACATAACACATGGGAAATACTTGCTTGACAGGGCAGAGGTCTTTTCATATTTGGCAGCTGGCTATTTGAAGGGTCCAGAGGGGGCATTTCTAGAAAGTTTCTCTTTTGTGATAGTAAAATACGTAAGGGGTTCATTTTTATATTAAAGTTTAGATCTGTTTTAATCTAGTCCCTCCCTCAGTATAATTGCAAAAAAAAAATGGCTAACCAAATTTTATGGGTTTAGTATTATTGAGAATATCTTTTTCGGCTATTACATTTAAGTAACTCCGTTAAAGCTTTATGAATGGATGCAACCACCCTAAAATTTAGTGGCATAAAACAATATTATGATCTTGGACTTTGCAAGTCAATAACTCAGATGGGGCAACATGAGGATGGCTTGTCTCTGCCCAGTATGTCTGGGGCATCAGTTGGGAAAATTAATGGCTAAGGGAGCTGGAATCATCTAGAGGTATCATCACTCACATTCTGGATTTTGGGACTGGTGTTGGCTGAGACCTCAAATAGCTGTTGGCCAGAACCTCTGCCAGTGATATGCATATGGGCCACATTGTGGTGGCGGCTTACATTGTGTATGAATATGCATGAGACCCAGACCTGCAGCAGCCACCTTGTAAGGAAGGGAGGTCCCTGAAAACAAGGTCAGAACACAAGATGGCGAAGCTGAGAGATGGAAAGAACCGGAACCACTGAATTAATCTTGAGTATTCTGCCTCCAACTTTCTGTTCAGTGAAATAAAATAAATTTTCTGTATTTTCTGTATATTTTTTTAAAAGAATGGGTGCAATATTATGCAATGCTAAGAGGACAATTGAACTGTGAAGAATATCTGTACCATCCGAGGACATGGACATGGATGTGCATGGGTTTAATGTGCAAATAGTACCTTCCCTTTTAGCAACATTTCAACAATAATTCAACAATTATTAGTGAGACAGAACATCTTTTCATAACTTGGTGGCATATAAATGTATTTTCCTATGAATTCATGTATCTATTTTCCTGTGATTACCTCCTTATAGCTGCTCCCCATTTTATTTGAATTGGTTGCATTATTTTTTATTCATTTATCAGTCTAACGCTTTTTGTTATGTTGTGTAGTGTTGCAGATATGTTCCCTATTCAATGACAGTTTCATTTCTTTTATGGACCAATAATATTCCATTACATGGATATGCCACATTTTACTTATCTATGCGTCTATTGATAGACATTTGGGTTAATTCCACATTCTAGGTTTTATAAATAATGCTGCTATGAACTTCATATAAACTTTTGGAGTTTGTTACATTCCAATAAAAAATTCTGTGGGGCTGGGACCGGTTTGGCTCAATGGATAGAGCGTCGGCTTGGGGACTGAAAGGTCCCAGGTTCAATTCCGGTCAAGGGCATGTACCTTGGTTGCGGGCATATCCCCAGTAGGGGGTGTGCAAGAGGCGGCTGATTGATGACTCTCTCTCATCAATGTTTCTGACTCTCCATCTCTCTCCCTTCCTCTCTGTACAGATTCAATAAAATATATTTTTTTAAAAATTCTGTGGGGATTTTTATTGCGATTGTATTAAATTTATAAATTAATTCGGGAAATTTTTATTACAATATTTCATATTTCCATTCAGGAAAATTGTTTTCTTTTATAGTTACTTAGGCCTTATATATTGCCTGCCATGAAGTTTTATCATTTTCTTCATAAATTTCTGGTGTATTTCTTTTTTATAATTTGGACTTATTTTATAATGTTTTTTCATTGTGAATGAAATTTTCAAATTAAAATTTCTATTTTGTGAAAGCACTGAAAAGAAAGGGGCACAAAGGAAAGGCTTACAAATTACACAGGACAGAATGATGGGGCGAGGCAGTCACAGCCATCATCTCCCCCCCAGATGCCAAGGCAAAGATGAATGGCGAAATTGTTTCATGGTTTGAGAGCATTTAATTGCTCTCTAGTGTCACCAGACCATGATGGTTTCCTGTGAAAGGTTTCCCTCTGCGATACCATGCAGGAGTTGAACAATCATGAGAGGGCATTTATGTTGTTTGCCCCAGCACTTAAGGTGCCATGTTAATGATAGCACTGCCACATCTTATTACTGCCTACATTTTAGAATGTGACTAAATGCATCCCTTTTATTGTTCTATTCCAGGATTTCCAATGAACACTCTCCCAAACTCCAGATCCGGAGTCACAGTTACTTGAGGGCAGTCAGTGAAGTCTCCATCAACCGAAGCCTAGACAGCCTTGACCCTGCAGGCCTGCTCACGTCACCAAAGTTCCGCTCCAGGAATGAGAGCTACATGCGAGCCATGAGCACCATCAGCCAGGTGAGCACCTTGGCCACAGGCCATTCACTGCACAAGGGTTACTGGACACTGAGAGTGACGAAGTGAAGTGACAGTCATTCCCCTAGGAGACTGCTGCTGAAACAGGCAGGAGGTCTGGTCTGAATGCTACTTGTGTTTTGCCCCTGCAAGCATCTGGTATCAACTATCTACCAGCAGGTGAGGGGTCTTCTGCAGATAGATAAAGCACATCAGGGGAGTCCTTGGAAATGCATGAGCAAACACTCAGCATCAGTAAATTTGTCAGCAAGAAGTTAATAGATGAGGCTTCCGTTGTAAGATGCTCAAAGGATAAAAGGACATTGCAGACATCATTGGCAAAACCAAGGCAGTATCTAATCACAAGTATTAAGCAGGCCATCAATACAAGAAATGAAATACCATTTATTCACCTCAAGTGGGTCCTAGGTGAATAGCATGGCTTGGTAATGAGACAGAAGTCCACTTCTAAGAACTGGTACACAGGACTGGGGATGAAGACTCAATAAAGTTTGCCCAGCTAGCATAGCTCAGTGGTTGAGAGTCAACCTTATGAACCAGAAGATCATGGTTCTATTCCTGGTCAGGATACATTCCCAGATTGTGGGCTCGATCCCCAGTGTGAGACATGCAAGAGGTAGCTGATTAATGATTCTTTCTCACCATGGATGTTTCTCTCTCTCCCTCTCCCTTCCTCTCTGAAATTAATAAAAATATATTTTTTAAAAACACTCAATAAAGGCAATGTATTCAGCTAAAGCTTTTCTAGTCTCTCCCCACTCAAGGTCTCAGAGGGCATGGGACAGCAGTGTACTATCTAAGCTCAGGGTTAAAAGGTACTCTTGGGGCACCTGACCTTTTTCTTGTCCTTCCAGAGGAAGCTTCTGAGGCACCTTCTGCCTTTCTGGTGACCTCTGGAAGGACAAGAAAAAGGTTATTTTTAATGATGTTTAGAAACATTTCATTTACATGTATCTCACAATTTAAGAAATAAACACTATGCTATTAATTCAGCTAATATTTACTGAGCTGAACACTGAGCTGGATTATGCATGTTATTCAGTGATGAATATAACATAATCCCTACCACCACCACCCCCAAAGCTTACAGTCTAATGGAGAACATACAAAAAAGTTTAAAAAGTGCTGTCACAAACATTTCTTCTCGAACATTGCATAAACACTCTGAGATAGGCAGGGCAAGAATTAGCAATAAAGCCACCTTTACTAGGTCAGGCACTATGCCAATTGCTTTATATTTTTAAAATATTAGTCCTTCTAAGCTCCCTGTAAGATAAGTAACCAGATGTTAAATGAGACTGTCTTTATGGTCATGAAATTGTCAATAAGATCCAGAAGCGAGGAGAAAAAAAATATTAAGTACCCAGATTCTAAAGTGAGAACTTCTAGGCATTTTAACAAATGAAGTAGTACTTGATTCTTAACTTCAAAAAATGCTAACCTAAAGCATGTGCAAGGAGTAGCAAATGCTCTAGTTTTGATGGAGCTTAGAGCACTTGAAGAGGCAGCAGTGGAAACCTATTCTGAATTTTATTCTGGAGACATTTTTATACAAATGGTCTTGCTTTCCAGACCCAATTGTTTGGAGTTTTTTCATTAGGAATTGGATTGATTAAAGATTAATTAAAACTTTAGCTTTTAAGCAAGCAAGAAATCTGACCAGAATTTAGACATAGGATAATTAATCTGGAAAAAAAAATGTGGAAATGTTAGAGATGATGGGAGGCTAGGGCAGAGAAGCTAGTTTGGAAGACAGACATTGTGATCATCAAGGTGAATTAATGCTACTAGTGGTGCTGTAGAGCTTGTGATGGTGACGGTGATGAAGATGGTGTTAATAGTGGTAATGGTGGTGGTAGTAGAGATGGTGGTGATGATAGTGATAGTAGTGGTAGTGATGGTGGTAGTGGTGGTGGTGGTGGAGATGGTGGTTGTGGAGATTGTGATTATGGGGTGATGGCAGTGATGTTGGTCTAGAGAAATGATAGTATAGTGTGGTATTGGTATAGATTAGACAAATAATGCACTTGAACAAAAAATGGGGGTATTATAGGCTAAGCATTGAAGCATCTCTGATCTCTGAGTGAGACCCTGAATAGAACCATAGCTCTCAATTCACCTACTCCTTGATCTATATGGATTCTTGAAGAGCAAAGAAAGGCAGGACCACAGTGAGATACTGCCCACTGATGTTCACAAATCCAACTCTCGGAAAATAGTTGGTGCCTCATTTGGTGAAGTTTGTACTTGTCTTGTCCTTACTTTTTCACAATAAACAATATAATATAACATTTAAAACTTCTTTAAGCTTATCTTTATTCTGGACAGCCTCATGATCACATAGCCTTCTAGAATTATAAAATCATAAATACAATTGTTATGTGAGCAGAATACATCAGTGGGTTTAATATTTTTATTGAAAAAATGTTCATATATATTCACTGCATTTATAATTTTATGCATTTAAAACAGGAGTACATGCCACTACCTCCATTGGGACATTCTGTGTCACTACCCGCATTGGGGTATTGTGTCCATGCAACTGCCTGCTAGTAGTCCCTGAGTCAGAGATATTACCTTCTGTGAGACAATATTACTTCCTGGTGAGAGTTTAATGAGATATCAACAAATTACTGAAGAAGCACATTGATACTATAGCAAGCAAAGCTCTGCAACTCAGTGGTATCATCATTTCACCTTAAGTAAAATACAGGAAGAATAGCCATCCTAAATGGATTCCTAATGATACCTCATTTTTCTAGTTCTATATCCAATTTTCAGGTAACAGCATCTTTAAGGATAATTTCAACTTTCAATTTCAGTACCAATATTGCCATTATTCAAAGGAGAATAGTTTCTTCTTCAAAGCAATACTACCATATATGTATTCTAGACTTTTCAAAAAGTGGTTGGCTTTTATAATATTGAAGATATGCTTTCTTATAAATCATTAGTAGCAACTCTAATAGTATAGAATTTAAGTGCATTATATCCTGTACCCTTTTAAAACCTGAGACATGTATTTTTCAAAGTCTCCTAGAAAGATCAAAGTAAAATGTTGTAAGCTAAGAAATTGGTCTAGAATAACTAAATAGTATGTTTGACATTCATACCTCACAGAAATAAAATAACCATAAAAACAGATTGTGCTTGAATGTTAGAGAATAATTGAACATCTTTTTATATGGTCACTCCCTTTTCATGTTTTGCTACATATACATAATGAAGGCTTTTAAAAGTGAGGCTTGCCCTAGCCGATTTGGCTCAATGGATAGAGTGTCGGCCTGCGGACTGAAGGGTCCCAGGTTCGATTTCTGTCAAGGACACATGCCCAGGTTGCAGGCTCAAACCCCAACAGGGGATGTGTATGAGGCAGCCAATTAATGATTCTCTCTCATCATTTTTTAATGTTTCTATCTCTCTCACTTCCTCTCTGAAATCAATAAAAATCTATTTTAAAATAATAATAGTAGTAGTAATAGTTGTTGTTGTTGTGAGGATGGAAATGAAAACGTTTGTTTACATATAGTAGCAATCTATTGTTTGCCAGATACAGGCTAGAAGCTTTGCATAGTATCTCATTAATTTCATATGAGCTATAAGATCATTTTTTTATTTACAAAACTCAATCTCAGAGAGTTGGAATAATTTGTCTCATTCTTCTCACTGTGCTATATCAAAAAATAGTATACAATATTTATGCAGTGCCTAAAAATATAGTATGTATTCGTATATATTACTTTATTTTTATCCTTAAAGCATCAATATGAGATAGGTATTATTTTAACCATTTTACCGATGAGGGAAGTGAGGCCATCTAGAACTATTTGATCTATATTTGTGCATAAATTTGATAAAGAATAATCTTTTTATATGAAAAAGTAGTGTTAAGCACTTAAAAACATAGTTATTAGTAAAACTAAGACTAAAGGTAGGCTGAAGTGGGACAGAACATATAGGTTATATGCTCTTATAATGTAAATATAGTACAACTATTTTAAAATAAGGAAAGAATGGAGAGAGCATATGTAACCCCTCCCCCCCAAAAAAAGAATTGCTAACTGTTTTCAGTAATAATATGGTCAATAGTACTATTAATGTGTTATTATGAGGCTGTTATGTATGTATTGTGGAATAAAGCAATTGAATTATTATAGGATATCCCAATCCTGTTATCTCTGTGTACAGGAGAAACAGTATTTAGTATGGAATAAATAAATAATTATAATATAGAAGAGATTACACAAAAACCCTGCAGTCTGGATTTGAATTGGAGCAATTCATAACCTAGTTCTGTCCGCTGAGTTAGGCTAGGAACAATGAATGACCAACGAGTAGCAATAACAACAAAGTTTCCTAGTGAGCAGATTGTGTTCTTGGGATAACAATTTCCGCTAATAGAGAGGAGGTACTTGGGAGGCGATACTGACTCCAGGACTGGGCGGGAAACGTATAAGATGAGTTTGGAATACTTTGTCATAACCAATATCCAAGAAGCTACTTGAGACTACTAGCTCATGTCAAAAGGAGCCAACCAAAGAGGTTCCCACTGGCTAAAGCTGAGGCAAATTTCAGTTCAGTGAGAATAATAAATGAACTATGTTTAAAATCATCAAATGTGCTTACATCTATGAGTTCCTTTTGATATTTTTAAATATACAGTTCACTTTTGTTAAATAAGAGGAAACAAATATATTACCCTGAAACTTAGAAAATAAAAGTGAAAATTCCTTTTTCCAGTAGTTCCCATATCAACTAAACCATTGAGTAACCAAATAACATGAGAGGAAGCATTTCTTTATAAAACTATTCCTAAATAGTAAGAGCTTTTGGAAATAAAATATCACCATTATGCAAACCCTCAATGAGTAATGGATCTGGACATTTGAGCAGAAATAGTTCCTAACAACATAAGAGAGGATTCACACATGATGTGCCTCCTAATGAAAGAACTGTGACTTCTAGTCTTGCCAAAGGGATTGAGCCTGGCTCTGATCAAAATTTTGGATCCAAAGAAAAAGAAAAGAAAAAAATCTGGATCTAGCTTATACTTTTCAGGAAATATAAAAGACAAAAAAGGGCTTATGCAAAATCCCACTGTGAGTATGAAATCTGCAAATCCAAACTATGGTAGTCTCCTAAGGTCAAATGATATAGATGTTTCACTGGATGAATTATGATTTTTAAAATGGATGAAGGAAGACATGTAGGTTAAACATGAATTAAAAGATACATTAATGTTCAAAATTTGTACAACTGAACTATAGAATATAGGAATGCACAATAGGATTTAAAAAAAAAAAAAGAAAGAAAGAAAAGTTAGGAAAGAAAAGGAAAGGAAAAGAAGTGATTGCAATAGCAGAGTATGGGTTACTTTTGGAGGGAGGGTGGGAATTGTCCTTAGGATGGAGCTTATGGCGTCTTGTCTGTGCCCGAAGGTGAGCGAGATGGAAGTGAACGGGCAGTTCGAGTCGGTGTGCGAGTCGGTGTTCAGCGAGCTGGAGTCGCAGGCGGTGGAAGCGCTGGACCTGCCCATGCCCGGCTGCTTCCGCATGCGGAGCCACAGCTACGTTCGGGCCATCGAGAAGGGCTGCTCCCAGGACGACGAGTGCGTGTCGCTGCGGTCCGCCTCCCCGCCGCGCACCACTACCACCGTGAGGACCATCCAGAGCAGCACGGGTGAGTGAGCCACAGCCCTTACACCACACAGTGTGTCCTTGCCGTTATCACACAGTCAGCACAGCAAAACACCACCCCTGCCCTGCAAAGCCTCCGGCCACATGCACACCCAACCTTCTTTCTCCTTCACCATCTCTGCTTTCAACAGAGCAACATGCAGCTAGGGGCCCAGGAGGGACAGCAGAGGGGACCAGGAGGGACAGCCCAGGGGACAGGTCTTTACAAGATCCCCACTCAGCATCCTAGGTGCCAGCAAAGTCATTCCAAACAACTCTGCTCCCCATAACCAGCTCTGACGTTAAGGGGTGTGACCCCTGAAACAAACCACACACCGTGAATGTTGAGCATCCCAGAGTAGGGATGCTCTTTGAATGGCAAGACATCCACCACATGCATATCTCCAAAGGCCTGAGATGAATGAGCCAGTAACCTTGACTGCACATGTTACAGTTCCCTTTCATGTCACAGAAGGCAGGTTTATTTCATTATTTTAAAACCTTCTGACTGTCATGTGTAGAGCGCACCTCCTTTCTCCTCTCAATTGAATGTAGGTTTGTGCCCTGAAACTGTATTTTTATCGGTAGATTTTAGGCAGACGGGCGCAGAAAAGCTTGACTGGTTTTCTTGACACTGGGACCTGCCCGGGGAGGCAGCCATGAGTTACGTACAACAACGCCTGTGTGTTTTTACATTTATAGCATCTGTGTCCAAGAAGAAAACCCCCTCCATCTTAACAAGGCTTCACTTTACGATTAAGTTTAGCATCACTCCAATACAGAGAAGTTCTACGATATCATCAACCCTCGCATCTAGATAAATAATGATGACTAAATTAGAAGAAAAAACTTATGCCACAACACTGCATTATTCCATTTCTGTTCGGGGTGCATCAAATGCCGGTCATTATCATTCAGCCAAGAACTTTGGCAGGCTTGAGAATAAGTCCTCAAACCTGAGTTACAATCCTGTTAACTAGAAATATGAGGTTGAAGTAGGAATCTGGGGGAGAAAAAAATATTAGCGGCTAAACAACAGGAGTTCCTCTTGACGAATACAAAGAGGTGCCCCCAGACATTGCACGGGCCCCGTAGAGATCTCGGCCATTCTCCACCCTCCCCCCTCCTCCCCGGGAGCCATCCCCAAGCAGAGACTGTGGATGTGCCTTCTTGTTCACTCAGAAACTCTGTCAGAACAACCACAGATGAGACTTATAAATTAAAAAGCGCTGATTTATGCAATGTAAAACTATTTGTTTCATTATCATGGGCATGTTTCTGTGTGTGTTTGCATTTGTGCAGTAAGTGCCGCTTCAAGGTCTGCCCTGTGCCTGTAGCATATCACTGTCTTTAGGTGTTTCCTCCCTTTTATCATCCCCACCCCCCATGGCCCTTCCCCAGGGTCTGCTCCATTCCTCACTCCACCAGCTGCTCTTCTGTACGGAAACCACCCCTTCAATACACAAGACGCAGATGCTTGCTCCGAAGAAGGAAGGGGAGGACAGGGGCCACTGGCTCACTCTTTCCGCCTCGGGGGGTCTTACAGATAGAGTGGCAGGAGACTCCAGGTGGCTTGTGTTTTGCTCCCACTCGGAGGATTTCTTGGAAAGACAACTTCCTGCAACAGTTCTTGTCTCATGGTCTTCGCGGCAAACACCTGACCTTTCTAAGACCCTTCCAGACACTCCGGAGGTTCCCGGAGCTCAGCAGCAGGGTTACCAGATAAAATCCAGGTTGTCAGTTAAATTTACATTTCAGGGAAGTAGTGAATAATCTTGTCATGTGTGTAGACCCCAAATATGGCAGGGAACATACTGATCCTACAAAATTGGCTGCCTCTGGCAAGCCTATCCAAGGAGATGAGAGGTAGTCCATTCCTCACTCTGTGGTTATATTTGGGATCCAAATTAAACTGGAGAGGTCTCTGTGGGAGAACGCCCCAAACCAGGGAGCAGGAAACAAAAACGGCGAGGAGGTTATTGCATCTGCTCTTCGTGGGCTCTGTGTGTCTCGTCCTAAGCAAAGAGCCACAGCTGCAGCTCTCCAAGTGGGACGGAGACAGGCTTGGCGGCAGCTGCAGGCGGGCAGGGCAGGAAGATGGGACTTGCCTTTGGGGTGGACAGGCATAAAATATCAGGTTTTTGTACAGGGCTTCACCCTTACATCAAACTGAACATTAAGATGTATCATCTTTACAGTCATGGAAAAATGAACCATTAAAGGAGTTATAAACCATTACAGTCGATTCTAAGTATGCACCTCAGATATTTAGTAGTACCTTAAGAATTTTAATATCACCTTTCACAGTTCTCTATACTATAGATTTTTTTTTTTGGGGGGGGGTAATCCACTGTTTTATGATATAATAAGGTTATGTATCCTTCATTCTACCCTCCCATTACTTCTACATGACTCCCTCTCTCTCTCTCCCTCTCTCTCTCTCTCTCTCTCTCTCTCTCTCTCTCTCTCTCTCTTCCCCTCCTTTCTCTCCTTCCCCTCCTCCTCCTCCTTCTTCTTCTTCTCATTCTCCTTTTCCTCTTTTTCCTTCCCCTCCTCCTCTTCCTCCCACTCCTTCTTCTCTCTCTCTCTCTCCTCTTTTCTCTCTCTCCTCTCCTCCCCCCCTTATCTTCTTTCTTCTCTCTCTCTTCCCTTTCTCTCTCACGTAATCTCAGTATTATTATTATACGAATTTCCTTCTACTAATTTCCTTCTTACATTGAATAAAATATAATTTCATGTAGACACAGAAAATCTACTTTCTCATCAGATGACAGGATGTACTAACTTTTGACAGAGTGCACTCATCTGTGGAAATCAGGAAATTACTTTGCTCTAATTTTAACCATTTCCCCCATGTACACAGGTCAGATTTACATCCATTCTTTTACAACATGGTATGAATTTCCCTTCTGTTTCTCTTCCTTTACTCCTTATTCTTGGATATCACAACACAATGCCTTTTTCCTAAACTTCCCCTTGCCTGAAAACAATTCCTCATTTTGGCAAATAGCAGTTATTATTTATAACTTCCCCCCACAACAGCCCACATTCTGAGTCTTTGATTTTTGTGTTGATCTATTTTAATTGTTCAAATTTTCAACAGATTATACTGTTAAGCTTTTCTCTTCCAGCCTTGTTCATTCTTCATATTAGCAAAATGAAACCATACACAAAAGAGCACCAAAAAGTGGCTGGTGTCATTTGGGAGAGTCGTGGCTTTGGGCTGAGTTCTCTGAGAGGTCCTAAGGATCCCTCAGCAACATGAGTGAAGATGGACAGATTGGTCACAGCAAACCACACAAGTTGGGAATGGAGTTAGAGTGACTTGTAATTAGGTTTCCTTTGATTTATTGACTTTTGGGCTCGTATAAATAGGATAGAATCTTACATTCTCTCAGTCTATATAACCTGCTTCAAGCGCCCAGATATTTCTCCATCTAATAGAGTGAACAAGTTTTTATATAAACAATTGCAACTGGGACTATTCGTAGAAAAGTAAAATGCAAAAATGGGCAATTACCCACACAACTGTGGAAAAACAGACACCCTTACTCAGTCGTCCAAATATTTTAGTTTAAAGTAGGACTTGGCGCCAGCAATATACCCAAACCTTCACTTTAGAGCACATGTGTCAAACACAAGGCCCGCGGGCCAAATCCGTCCCGCCAGGCCTTGCAATGTGGCCCGCACTGCGCTGTCATCACTGCACTCCGCTGCGTTTCCATCACAATGACAGTTTATGACTGTTCAGTAAACCATTCGGCCCGCGATTTAGGCTGGATTTTAGATTTTGGCCCCTTCTCTGATTGAGTTCGACACCCCTACTTTAGAGTATTGAATTAAAGCTGCCTTGTTTGGAATATATAGCTGTTCTTTAGGGTTGTGATATTCAAATGAGATCATTAATAAGAAAGCATTATTTAAGTTATAAACTACAATGCCTCTACCCTGTGTTTGATTTTAAATTTCTCAGCCAAGCTTAGTTTATTAATACTAATAATGGCTAAACCTTTGGTCACTTATTACTTAAAAAGCATTATGAACTGCTGCATAGATTCTCTCAGGTAATCCTAAGGAATATTCTATGATGTGACTTATGCAGTTCCTGACTAGGAATGACATACAGGAAAAAAACAATGACAGCGTTAAGACTTTATTATACAACTTGACCAAAGTACGGTACTACAGCTAGAAGTGGACAGAGCAGGCCCAAATTCTCGTTGCCTGTCAGTAAATGCTTAATGAAGGATGGTATTCCCTGAAATAATTCAATACCAAACCTGTCTGCTAAGTGAGAGGACTCTTTTCTTTAATGCTTTCTTCCCACAAATATGCATTTAATTCCTGCCATGTCTAAAACTTGTGTTTTCCATCAAAATTTCTGAAAATACCTCTTTTTAAAAGAAACTGTTCTGTTCACATAATATTTTTTTTTATATTTTATTAATTTTTTGCAGAGAGGAAGGGAGAGAGATAGAGAGCTAGAAACATCGATGAGAGAGAAACATCGACCAACTGCCTCCTGCACCCCCCTCACTGGGGATGTGCCCGCAACCAATGTACATGCCCTTGACCAGAATCGAACCTGGGACCCTTCAGTCCACAGACCGACGCTCTACCACTGAGCCAAACTGGTTTCAGCTCTGTTCACATATTATTGACATGCTTTTCATATTGGTTTGTCTACCTGTGGAATATCTGTTTAAAGTGAAATTAAAGATGTAAAATATAGAGAAATTAAAATGCATAGAGAAAAGGCATATAAAAAGAAAATACTCTTTGGGCTTAAAGTTTCATATTACACTTTTCATTTGGCATTATATTGGATTTAGAGATCAAATGTCTAATCCTTTGATCTAACTATAGCATTGTTAGCACTGAAGGGGGGGGTGGAGAATTTTTGCCAACTCTCTTATAAACTAAGCAGGTGGTAAATTCTGTTTTGTGGTTATAAAATGATCAGAGGTCTCTGCCTTAGACTAAGTAAAAAATACAATAATTTAA